CCCCAAAACCCCAAAACCCCAAAACCCCAAAACCCCGCGATTGGGTTGAGAAATTGAAAGAAGAAATTTGAGTGGGGAGTAGGAATGAGTTAGATTAGGTAGATGTGGGCCAAGTGGTGTTGGGAAAGGATTTTTTTGAGGTGTTTATGGGGGATTTGGGAGTAACGGATGTCCAGTTCTTTGAAGCTGAGAAGGAAGGAGGGAGAGGATGTGAGGCCTTGGATTAGGTTTTTGAAGCCTTCTTGGTTGGGTTCTGGGTCAGGGTGGTTTGTAAATCTTGTTTCTATGAAATCGAATCTTTGAATTGTAGTGCCTTCCAAGCATGTGGAAAAATCAGGGATAGCAGTTATTCCGAATTCACAAAGACGAAAATATAATTCTCCAGTTTGCTTAAAAGAAGTTATGAATCTCTTCAATTGTGGAAGACTCATTTGAAATCCCACCAAGAAAATCTCCTTATGAACTTTGCAACCAATTCTGGTTATTTGGTTGAAATAATTTGAAATAGGAACTCATAATTTTTCTTTAGCTCCCATCCTAAAACTTTTGATTGATTTAGGAAATGAGGAGTTTAAAAAATTAGCAATAAGGTGATTTTGTCTTTTTACTCCTTGTAAAGCTAGTCTCTTGAAATCAAACGAATCTACAAAGAGCTTTTTCTTCAGGAAGTTGATTTCATCCGGATAATAAAAATCAAGTTCAAGATTCAAGCTTTCATATTCAGTACCTATATCTTCGTCTGAACCAGAGTCTGAAAATGAGTCTTCTTCTTCATTTTCCATATCTGCTCCAAAAGAGTTGAAATGTAAATTATTTGCCAGCATTCTTGCAATTTCATTGATTTCTTTAAAGATCAACTTCTCTTCTCTATAACAAACTCCATAAAACAAATTCTCTCTTAGGATGTAGGATCCTTGGATAGGTTCTACGAAATACTAATGCATGGTACTTCTTGACAACCTTGGAGTCCTTATAGGCTAATTTCAAAATATTTAAACGACACCAATCAGTTCTCAATTAAAATTTGATGCATCAAGGCTAAATCGTTGGCATCTTAATTAGTTTTTAGATAAGTAGTTTTTAAGAATTTTAGCAACAATACTGACAAATTAGGAAGAGAAAAGAACTCAGACTTAAGGAAAGGACTTTTTGCCTTCAAAATATAATTCTGAGAGTTGGTAAATTTGAATGGGATATCGAGCAATTTACTTAAAAATATAAGTAAAGTTATAGACTTTGAGCCCATGAATCAATCATTGAACATTCTATTAGGATTAATAAAGATTCAACACACGTATTGTTTCTGCTCAGACTTCATATTAAGATCTTAGATCTTACTTAACAGCATGGGAATTGTCTGTTTGAGGTGGTACTATTGAACTCTCCATTTATTATTATAAATTGTTTTTATTTCATTCCTTAAATATATTTGTGGGGTTTTGGGGTTTTGGGGTTTTGGGGTTTTGGGGTTTTGGGG